AAAGCAATTCAACTCCTCAAAGCCCAGGGACTATTGCAGAAGAGGTGACAGTGTGAAATTATAAGAGCTAGTTTTAAGAGCTAAAATAAGTTCAGTTTCTCTATAAATTAACCATTAATGTCAAAGACACACTGTTGCAAGACTAGCATTTAAGCCCCTGTGTCAGACTAGCAAAGTTTTCTTGAAGCATTAACCAACTCCTTAAAAAAGGTTATAAAGTTATAAAAGGCTTATGGAAGTTATATTTTATGATCAAGGCAAAAATTTTATAGATTGCTTATAAAATTTTGAAAAACAGATTTAATTGGCTTCATGCTGTTTTAATTAGGGCTTATTGTTTATAAAATTAAGTCTCATCTCTCATAGAACGAAGGTTTTTGCCTTTTTTTTTTAAAAAAAGTCCTCGAGTTATCACTTTGGTTAAATGAATGACTTACTTTACAATGACCTGTAATCCTATTTTGTGCCATCAAATGTTTTAAACCTTTCATATTTGACAAACTTTCCAAAATCAAATTATAAACGATATCTTTTTCTGGCCTAATTAATCCTTTAAGATATTATTAATAGGTCCTCTAAAGTCTAAAACATTACATACTTGGCTTATTTGATATAAAAATTATACAGGAAGCATTGTCAAAATTAAAATGGTGTCTAGTTTTCTTTGGGCTGTATTTGTTTAAATATGTTATTGGTATGTATTCCAAGATTCTGGAAAACTCCTATAATTATGATATGACTTAGTGCACATTATCAGTAATAATTATGTTATTGTGTGCCACACAGGTAACGAATTTACTTTTCAATTGTGTCTTTGGCTATGGCTGCCCTAAAACTTTTTGTCAACCACAGACAATCGTTGTCTTGTGTTGATGCTCTTTAGAAGGTAGTTTTATATTCTGCTAAACAACTCTAACGGGTTATCTTGAATGCCGTTTTCTGGTAACTTTGGAGACTGTAACATCAGAATAGAGGAAAACTTTCAGGACTCCTGGAGAGCTGAAATGTTCATGAATATCAAGCAGAACAGGAATTAACTAAATGGACTAAACTAATAAAAGCCTAAAGTAATCTTTTTAACTTTTTGCTTAAAACACTGCTGATCCTTTGTTTTATTTTTCAGAGTCAAGAAAACTTTTAAGCTATTTACCTCTTTTAACAATTGAGTAAAGTATATTCCTATGAACAAAATTTGGATTATATTTGTTTTCTCTCTACTTGATTTCTACAGAATTTGGAAATTACTTGTGAGCATTATTAACTCATGACGATACAGTTATTTGCATAAGTGCAATAAGAATCTGTTTTCATTGGTAACAGGACACAATTAAAGAAACAAGGCTTTGACTAGGATGGTGTGCTTTCCTTTAAGGAATTAAACTTGACTTATGGGGGGGCAATGAAAGCCCTTGGGAAAACTGACCTCATACTTGTGTACACAGTACCCCGTCCAGGGTTTCTGACCTTTGGCAAATAAAGAATGTCACTTTCTGACAGGCCCAGGAGTCCCAAGTTTTATCTTGGAACTTCAAGAGGAAAGGATTTCACCCAGTTCATTGGTATTTGATGGTACAAATACATGGCTGGGCTCAGCTTTTAAAAAGTGTTATCTGAGATTCCTTCTATGGAACAAAGTTCCATCAAAGCCAATTTAAAGGCCCATGTAAAAAAAAGCAACATCATTATTATTATTGCTACACTGTATACAAATAATAAGGCCAAGTATAATAAAGCAAAGCAGTCCTACCATGATTTGTCTATAGTAAAAATGAGAAACTGAAGAGAGAAAAAATATGTTTCAAAAACTGTAGTACACCTGCTGTTAGATTCTAGTCTTGCCTAATGTTTTTCCGTTTTTATTATTTTCTACACTTTGGACTGAATTCTAATTTTTCTTGGCTACACGCCTGCAAAATAATGTTTTCAATTGTTTTCTTTCCTTTTTTTTTTTTTTTCATTTTTCCTAATTTGGAGTCACTGAAAACTAAGCTGTGCTTTCTTAATACCCTGTGAACTGAAGCTAGACAATTTAAACCTCAGAAGAACATAAATTTAAATTTAGACAATTTAAGCCTCAGAAGAACATAAAAAGAACATAAGCAACCAATTTACATAAATAAGCCAGTTTTCATACCTGCCTACTGATGTATGGACTTCAGAGTAATGTGGCCTATATCAATTTTCCATGATTGTTCATTTGTTTGCTGTTTTTTCCTTTCCTGACTCTATGTTCTGTTCACAGGACATGAGACTTCACAGCCTGATAATAATGAGCTCTCCTAATAAGTTAGCACCTACCTGTCTAGGAATAAACCACCCAATGCCATGAGAGATCCGATAAAACCTGAGCCCAGAGATGTATTTTCTTTCTTTCTTTTTTTTTTTTTTTGAGACGGAGTTTCACTCATGTTACCCAGACTGGAGTGCAATGGCGCGATCTCGGCTCACCGCAACCTCCGCCTCCTGGGTTCAGGCAATTCTCCTGCCTCAGCCTCCTGAGTAGCTGGGATTACAGGCACGCGCCACCATGCCCAGCTAATGTTTTTGTATTTTTAGTAGAGACGGGGTTTCACCATGTTGACCAGGATGGTCTCGATCTCTTGACCTCGTGATCCACCCGCCTCGGCCTCCCAAAGTGCTGGGATTACAGGCTTGAGCCACCGCGCCCGGCCCAGAGATGTATTTTCTTCTGAAATGCTTTCTCCAAAAGATGTTTAAAAAGAATAGGGGATAAATGTGAAGGAAACGAAATTCTGGGGGCTCCCCAAATCACTCAACTAAAGGGAAAAGTCAAACTGGGAACTGCTTAGGGCAAACCTGTCTCCCATTCTATTCAAATCCACCCCTCTGCTCCCTGTGATAAATGCATATATGACTGCCTCCTTTGGAGAGGCTAAAAGAAACTCAAAAGAATGCAACCATTTATCTCTTAGCTACCTATGACCTGAAAGACCCCTATCCGCATGGAGTCTTCCCACCTTTGCTTCAAGGTGTCCTGCCTTACCAGACAGAACCAATGTTCATCTTGTATATTGATTGATGTCTCATGTCTACCTAAAATGTTTAAAACCAAACTGTGCTCTGACCACCTTGGGCACATGTGGTCAGCACCTCCTGAGGCTGTGTCACAGGCACACATCCTCAACCCTAGCAAAATAAACTTTCTAAACTGAGACCTGTTTCAGATTTCTGGGGTTCACAACAGTAAATAGAACAGCCAGTTTCCTCCCAACTTAGCCTCAGCAGGAGGAACCTCCGTGTCTGGAAGCCGTTCTCGACTTGAATCATTTTGTCTCCACTAGTTTGTGAGTATTTTGAGACTAGGAGTCATGAGTTATTGTTCATCTATGGAGCTGCAGTGCCTAGCACATTGCCTGATATGAGGGCAGATTTGATAAATGTTTGATGGATAAAGAAATGAATGCAAGTCATTCCTGAAGCCCTTTACAGCTAATAAAGAAAACAGAAAAATGTCAAGAAGACCACTTGTTTTAGCAGGACGTTCTCAATTTTATATCATAAAACTGCAACTTAAATTTGCTGGGGAAAAAGAGGGGATTTATTTGCTGATAAAAACAAAACAAAACAAAACAAAAAAACCAACTGCAGGATGCCAGAGCTCAACCCATGTGGCTAGGCCTTCATCTCTTTCCTCAGGTCCCAGCTTGGCTTGTCTCGTCTTGGTTTCATTCTTAATCCAGGGCCTCTCCACATGACAGGCAAGATGGTTCACCAGCACCCTCAGGTTTATATCCCATTTTTAGCATCCCAGCAGTGGCCACACATTTCCAAGGAAGACTCTGATGGCTCATACTTGAACTGAGTAATTTGGCTGGCAGACAGGGTACTTCAAATGGTCAGCATGGTTGATAAGCCCACACCAAGCCAGTCACTAGGGTACCACTATTATCAGCCTCACCAGGAACACATGGAATTGGTAAGACGCCACCTTTAGAAACCAGAAGGGGATGGAAAGGTACAGTGGATTACGATAGTCCTCTACGTCTTCGCTTCGCTTCGCTTCTCTTCTCTCTCTCTCTCTCTCTCTCTCCCCCTCTCTCTCTGTGTGTGTCAACAGGGTCTCATTCTGTCACCCAGAGGCTGGAGTACAATGCCACAATCACAGCTCACTGCAACCTCTGCCTCACAGGCTCAAATGATCTTCCTATGTCAGCCCTCCGAGTAGCTAGGACTACAGACATGGGCTAGCACACCAAGGCTAATTTTTGTATTTTTTGTAGAGATGGGGTCTCACTATGTTGTCCAGCCTAGCCTCAAACTCCTGGGCTCATGCAATCCACCTGCCTCAGCCTCCCAAAGTGCTGGGATCACAGGTGTGAGCCACCACACCCGGTCTTTCTAGGTCTTTTTATCTTCCTGCTCCACCATCCTTACTTAGCCTGATGGTTTTTGCATTCATCTATGTAGCTCAATGGATGCAAGATTCATGCCACAGAACTAAACAGAATAAATGTTTTCAAGGCAGAAGGAAAGAGGAGAGGCAGCCCCAGCCTTAGCTGTCTTTTTTTTACAAGGAAAGCAAAAACTTTTCCAGAAACACCTCAAAAAGACTTCCCCTTAAGTATCACTGGCCAGCATTGGGTCACACTGCTACCCCTTGTGGCAAGTGAGGCTAGGAACTCTAGTTTTTTTTTAGAATTTCATGACTAGTTTGGACCAAAACTGATTGTCCCGCCCCTCCATCAACCTCCCCCAGAGGCTAACCACACTTGCTCTGAGCACGCTAAGCACACTGGGCCTCTCTGATCTTAGCGACATATGCACTGCACAGCAGTTGCTCATTTTTTGCAACCCCCACCTCTTCCTAGGATTTCTAAAGAGGTGCTCACATCCTTGTATCCACAGCACTTAACACAGCGCCTAACTTCATTCCATCGGTTTGAGTGACTGCCATGTGTGAGGCCCTGTGCAGATAAGCAGACGATTGGTGAACATTTCCTGGATGGATGGATGTACAGATGAGTGGATAGATGGATGGATATCATCACTGCGCAGTGGTTCCCTTCAGGACAGCCCGAGTCTCCCTGCCCCCTGCTCTCATCCCTCTCACTCCAGGCTGTCATTTCACTTTCCTAAAAGACGTCCCTTTGCCCACGACGCTAATGACGAGACTGTCCCTCTCTGTCCTGAAGCAATAGCTAGAACTTTCCCTCCTTCCTGCCACCTAGCATCCAGCTGAACCTTGAATCTGTACCAGTAAAATGGGTGTGAACGGAAGGAGGCTGCTAATTATTTGCCATTATTTACCTCTGAGTCTGTGCATTCCCATTCCTTCCCATATTAATTCTCTTCCCGCAATCCCCCCTCCCCTTCTCTGTCCTTGGGAACTGGTTCAACCAGAGTACAACCAGCTCATCTGCATCTGGCCCTAGAGAAGAACCTGCGGGAGCCAGAGGCGGAGGAAGAGAGAAGGCGGCACGGTGGCTGCAGCGTTGCTGCGGCGAGCGCACACCCCGCGTGGCCCGCACCGCGTAGCCCGAGAGGCCCATGCCCAGCCCGCGCCGCTCCGGGCTCCCCCATGAGGCCTCTGCCGAGCGTGGGGAGGAAGACCCGAGGCATCTCCCTAGGACTCTTGGCCCTCTGCCTGGCCGCAGCCCGCTGTCTGCAGAGTAAGCCCCGGGGGATACGGGGAGGAGCGGGGAGCAGGAGGGGGCGCGGCGGGTGGGGGGTGCGCAGGCGGGTCTCGGGGTCTAGCGGCGGCCCTCGCCCACCTTGTCCGGCGGAGAGCGCGCGGCGAGCTCGGGCTGGCAGGCACCGAGCCGCTTCCTCGTGGGGCTGGGCGCGGCCTGGAGCCCCGGGGCCGACCATGGCGGGAGGGGCCGGGCAAAGCAGAGGCAACCTGCCCGGCGTCCCAGGCCACTTTGGGGCGCCCACCCCACCCAGCGAGCACGGCCTGCAGTTATCAGAGCCGGAAGGTGGCCCAGAGATAACCCCCTCCCAGCCCAGTGGCCGCCGCCTCTGCAACATTTTCTATTTCTTTTTCCTGGAATAACCAGATTGCAGTCCGTGCGCCGCCCCCTACTATGGGGACCCCTCCATGGCCTTCCCGGGTCATCTCCTGGGAGAATGATCAAGCCTCCCCGATCAGTCAGAGGAACCCACGGCAGCTTCCTCCCGTGAGAAAAAACGTTCTGGGGCTTGGGTTGGGCGTTGTGACCCAAAGTCCCCAGGCTGGAGGTGGTCCTCGCCACCAGGGCACTGAGCAGATTGCTTTGGATGGCCAGGACCCGGAATCCGCAGCCTGGTGAGCCTGGATGCAAAGCATAGCGCCACAGGCTCCCTTGGACACAAACAACAGATCCCAGCGCAGTTTTACTTTGTCCTTCATTACCATTGGCACTCCCATCTTACAGATGGGCCAGCTGAGGTTTAGAGAATGACAGAGCAGAGCCGCTGGAGGCGAGAGGCCCTGTAGTAAAAGCCAACATTATTAAGCACTCATGCATTCAACATCCCTCAGACTTTACAAGACCCCTCTCATTTAATCCTTAGGGCAACCCTAATCAACTACTCTTATTCCTGTTTCCCAAGTGAGGAAACTGAGGCACAGAAATGGTATGAGCTGAGCACAGTGGCCCACATCTGTATTCCCAGCACTTTGAGAGGCCAATGCCTGTGGATCTTTCGAGTCCAGAAGTTCAAGACCAGCCTGGGCCACATGGCAAAACTGTCTCTAGTAAAAATATTTTTAAAAATTAGCTGGGTGTGGTGGCCTGTGCCTGTATGCCCAGCTACCAGGGTGCAGGGCCAGTTGGGGGGGGTGAAGGAGGTGGGGAGCTGAGGTGAGAGAATAGCCTGAGCCCAGGAGGTTGAGGCTCCAGTGAGCCCTGATTGTGCCACTGCACTCCAGCCTGGGCAACAGAATGAGACCTTCTCCAAAAAGAAAGAGAAAGAAAAGAGAAAGAAAGGAATGTTATGTTATTTATACAAGGTGACTGAACAATCTAACACTTTTGACTTTTACACCTCTCTGGCTAGAACTCAGCTTTGGAGGTTGCAAATCTCAGAAACCCGGTAACACTAAGGCATGTTCCTCTGATGGCTATGGATTAAGAAGTAGTTGGCTGTTGGTCTCGAGCAGGTGGGTGGGTATGTTTACCATTGCAGTTGCTTTTTCTATTGTTCCTCAAACCTTTAGCACTTGTTCCCAATCAGAATATTTACACATCTGCTTAGATACCCCTTATGCTCAAGGACCAGTCATTCACTATAGTGGATAATTCATTCATTCACTCACTCATTGACTGAACCCTCTCCCCGCAGGATGCAGGCCACAGTGGGTACCTAGGAAATGGTTGTTCAGTTTTGTTCTCAGGGAGTTTAGGTATCATGGGAAGACAGACAAACAAGAGGGGCAGCCTTGGAATGGCAAGCCTTGAGAGACAAGAGATGCCATGTTCTGGGAGCCCTCCTGTCTCAGAATCCAGACTTCAACAAACTTCCCCCAAATAGCCCCACCTACTCAGACCAGCCAGATGGATAGGAGCAGTTGGGGGAACAGGACGAAAGGAATGCAGGGTGTCCCAGACAAAACAGCACATGCAAAACCTGGAAGTCATGTAAAAGTGTGCAGTTTTCCATTGAGAACTATCTCCTGCACAGTAAGCTCCAGGAGGGCAAGCACTCTGTTCAGCTCTGGGTCCCTAGCATTGTCCAGTGCTAGCCAGTGCCTTCCCCCTTAAAAGATGTTAAACACATGTGTGCCTGCCTGAATGAAGGCTGTGCTTTGGAGCCAGCCATAATGATATAGAGTAGGCCTTCTCCCTCCTACCAGTTCCCTGCATTCTCTACCTCTTCTGCCTGTGTCAAAAGCTTCATCCAGAACCTCTGATATTCACCATTTGCCCTGAAATCTCAATTAAAGCATGCCAAAGACAAACACCCTGCTTTTGAAGCTTTTCCCTTACAAATGGCACTGTTCCTGACTACATGTATGGGTCCTCTCAAGATTCATATGTTCAAGCCCTAACCTCCAATGTGATGGTATTTGGAGGAGGGGATTTAGGGAGGTAATTTGGTTTAGATGAGGTCATGAAGTGGGGCCCTATAATGGGATTAGCATCCTTATAAGAAGAGGAAGAAAGACCAGAGCTCTCCCTCCCAGCTGTGTGAGAACACAGCAAAAAAAATGGAGATTAGCAAGCCAGAAAAAAGGCCCTCACCACAAACTGGCACCTTGATCTTGAGCTTCCCAGCCTCTCCAGAACTGTGAGAAATAACTGTGGTTTAAGCCACATTAGTCCATGATCATCTGTTACAGCAGCCTGAGCTGAAAGGAGAAGGATTTACAGGCTCAGAAAGCTGGCAGGCCTCCCCACCAGGCCAGGTGCCTTTCTGGAACATTTGTTCATTTCCTTACCCGGTACATTAGCCATCAGGCTCACAAATTCCCACCCAGTGCTCCCCCTCATTTGGAAGCACGTGATTTAAGATTATAGCAGGATAGTTTAGTTAATGGCCTGGGCCAAAATCGGCTTGTTTTCTTTGTTCCAGTCCCAGTTTCTAAGAAGCAGCCAGCTCCCCCAACACACACACACAGACACACAGTCGGGCCAGTCCCCAGGAAAATAGAAGAACAGGGCTAGGGCTGAATCTGAGGCTGAGGAGGGAGTGGACAGACCTGGGGATGCCACAGCCAGAATGAAGCTGTGGGTTCTGGGCTTAGTGGAAGGTGGTGGTGGATGGGATGGGGAGGGAGCCAGTGTAGGAGGAATCCCCTCGAGGCCCCTCATAACTCTGGGTCCATCACTCCGTAAGTCCTCAGCAGCTTTCCAGTGCTGCCATTCATGTGGCAAACATCTTTGAAGCACTTACTATGCTGCCTTGGGCTCGGCGCTGATCCCTGATCAAACAGACAAATGAGGTGTGGTCTCACTCTGCACTGTCCTTTCAGATTTATAAAAAATATTTTTGCATACATATAAATGTACCCACTGGGAAAAAAAAGTGAGTTTTCAATGTACTTTTAAAAAATGCCATCATTCTGTACTGGTTACTCAGCAACTTAGTTTTTACACCAATTTTTTTTTAGCTGTATCCACATTGATAAGGAAGTGCATTCCTTTCAACTACTCTATATATGTCATCATATAAATATGCTGCTTTTTACTTAGCCAGGCCCCCTGATGGACAATTAAGCTTTCAACTTTTAGCCCTCAGGGGAGAGAGACTTCTCATACAGAGTGATGTGTGAGTGCTAGCAGTGCACACATCGTATGGAAGAGGTGCCAGTTTTCTGGCTGACAAGCACCCCTGCACACACACCTTCTCCCCATCTCAGAAAACACCTGAAAGACAAAATTGAAGCTGTTGGGAGTGTGGAGTCAACCGGAAAGTGTCGCAGAAGTTTTACTTCTTAATCTCCAAGGGCGTTCCTGAGTATGCTCCCTACTGGTCTGAGAACAGGGCGAGGGCCAGCAGACTCTACTCTCCAGTATTCCCAGGACCAAAGGACATCTATATCCCTTATCTGATATAAGAGTCTTTGAAGGCCGGGCGCGGTGGCTCAAGCCTGTAATCCCAGCACTTTGGGAGGCCGAGGTGGGTGGATCACGAGGTCAAGAGATCGAGACCATCCTGGTCAACATGGTGAAACCCCGTCTCTACTACAACTACAAAAAATTAGCTGGGCATGGTGGCACGTGCCTGTAATCCCAGCTACTCGGGAGGCTGAGGAAGGAGAATTGCCTGAACCCAGGAGGCGGAGGTTGCGGTGAGCCGAGATCGCGCCATTGCACTCCAGCCTGGGTAACAAGAGCGAAACTCCATCTCAAAAAAAAAAAAAAAAAAGAGTCTTTGAAAAAATAATTTACTACATCTAAAGCCAGGATTCATATTATAAATCAATAGCTTTGAAGCTGGGCACAGTGGCACACACCGGCAGTCTCAGCTATTTGGGAGGCTGAGGTAGGAGGATCGCATGAGTTCAGGAGTTTGAGACCAGCCTGGGCAACATAGTGAGACCCTGCCTCTAAAACCAACTCACAAAAAAGGCTTTGCTGCAATTTTTGTCAGCCTGGATTGAGGTGAGTTCTTCCAAAGAGAATGTGTGTTGCTTCTGCCAGTCATGGCAGGCATCGTGCCTGGTGGGGCAGAAACGTTTCATGGAGCAGGTGAGGTTGAGTCTTGAAAGATGAGTAAGTGTGTTCAGCAGGACAGGGTGGAGAACAGAATTGCAGGCACACAGCAGGTGCTCAAAAAAATAGGTGCACAATACCTCTGCGGCCTGGGAAGGGAAGAGGGAGCAGAATTTGCCCTAGCATTCACCCACGGAACTTAGCCACTGCCCCACTCAGAGACCCCACTGATGCTGGAGGCCCATAGCTTATGCACTCAAGATGCTGGCTTCTCTGCACCTGAATTTTCCCTGGAAAATGGGCTTGGGGTTGGAAAATAATTACTTATCCAGCAGGAATGAGAGTGGGAGGGAGGGGGATTGACAAGTTCAAAGTTGGAAATGACTTGCCGCTCCTGTAACTGGTTTGCTGGGCTAGGAAGGCACCCGTCATCCCTATAGGAAAAGGAAAAATGACACACTGGACAGTAAAAGGAGCACAGTCCATTCTTTGTCCACGTGTCTAGCTGGTCAAGGGAGCATACTAGCCTTTCT